TTTCGCATTCATGTCTCGAACGGCTATATCATGAAGTCTAAGCGAAAACAGCATTCTTAATCACCCTTCGCGATGAATATCGAACGTTCTCGATTCGACGTCATCACCACTAGTGTTACCATTTGAATACGCTGCTTTTGCACTCGCTCTCAAAACAGAACTTCTTTCTAGACGGTCTTAGCTGCTATTCGCTTTCCCGTGTGTTTGTTTTGAGAGCGAGTTTTAATAGTGTCTGAATAGAGTTGTTTTTGTGAAGATCAAGTATGTAGTTGTATCGAGTTCGGCATTTGGGTAGTAATAGGAAAGCAAATTTATGTAACTACGAGTCAGAAAAGTCTAATGATTGAATACCTGAAGAAAGAACATCTAATTTTGGCGACGGGATAATTTACCCAATCATTCACCCAAGCGAATACGAGAAGAAAATGGAAAAATTAATTCATTAGCTCAATTCTGTTCCAAACAGAGTAGTGAAAGATTGGTAAACCGATGAAAGGGAAGAAATTCAAAACTTAGAACAACTATTCCACTCACAATATAATTGTTTCAAATACAAAGTAACATAATCTATGGATTCTAAAAATCATGATTTAAAAGAAATTATTTAAATACTTCCAACCCGTTACATTGTACCAGGTGTTTCGCCGAAGATGACGCGTCGCTTGCGTCAGCCCTCGCTCCCCTTCGAGCCCTCGCTTCCCCGGGAACTTAACAAGGTCCCCGTTCATCCGGCGCGCTCGTCGTACTCCGCGACCGGCTGATACACCAAAGTTTCGAGAGCTTTAAACTATGCACCATGAAATTTTCTTTGAAGCACAGAGTATTTCTTTACGCTTTCGTTCGGCTTAAGTCTGCCAGTAAGTGCTGCAAGAGCTTTAAAATGAAAAATGCGGGCGTAAATATTTTATAGCGGTCGACAATTTTCAACATTTAAAGAACCTTCGCATCCATGGAATTTTAATTAACAAACAATAGTGTCAAACGCTCCATATCCTGACAGAAGAGAAGGTGAATGAAGTCTCTGCCAGGTTACAACAATTTCCAAGAAAATCTTCGAGGCGTCTCTGGCTACTTACAACAGATTTAGGCAACTGCTGTTCGATCCAAGAACTTTTTAAATAATGTTTATTGTAACCATCGAATAATTAGTCGTGGGATATGGCCTCCTAGATCACCTGATCTGACTCATTGTGGCTTTTACTTTTGGGGGTATTGGAAAGTTCAGGTGTATGCGGAAAACCCGCATTCGGAGGAAGGGCTCTGGCGCTCTGTTGAGAAGAATCTCGCAGCAATGTCCCGAGACTTACTTCAAAGAGATAATCAGAATATGTTCTGGAGGTACCGAGAATTCATTGTAGCACCACTAGAACAATTTAGGACACCACTTTCAGCATCTTTTAAAGGTAAGTTAGGCGGCGCAGGGATATTCTTTTATGTGAGCACGGGAGTTGAGTCAGCGTTTCGCTAGGCGAATGAGCCCTCGACTACCCGGGCGACGCGGCCCAAATCTTCGGCAAACGATAAAATGAACACTTTGTACATTTGAAGTCTTGGTTAGTTTTAATCGGTCCAGTGTAATCCACTAGTTCTACACAGGTGGTCTCTTTTTTATAGTAGTACACGTTTTAAAATATTTTATCCAGTAATTTTAAAAATGTACATTGCATGGGTTGAATTTCTTGTTTATATTTATTTTTGAGCATAGACAGTAATTGCTCGTTGAATGAAAAAATATTCTACTGTTGTTGATTTTATTCATTAAAAAACAATTTACAACCTACAGTGTTGTACTGATATTCAAATATGTTCTTTTTAAATTATAATTGTTGCGAGAAAAAAATGAACTTTCTATCTGTATAATTTACACACTCATTTCGGAATACATTTCATAATACTAAAAAATAAATTTAACAATTTGCACAAAGAAGATTTAAATCAGTAATTTAAAACCTCATTCAATTTAAATAATGTAAAAACCGTAATGTAATGACAAATTACAAAATAGCTGACAATCAATTACAATCTGTAATTGTAAGCAACGAATTGGAAATTGCCATACTATATCGGAATACATAAAAACACCAAAGTAAATTAAAAACTTTAATTATAGAATAATTAAATTAATGTCAATAAAATGAAGAAACTCTTGTTATAGAATTAATAAAGAGATGTTCAAAAGGAAGAAGAGGTTTAATAATAATGTTCTTTAACTCTTTTTTGAAGGCACGTTTTGTCTGTCCTACAGATATAGAAAAAGCCAAAGAAATCACCCCAGTTAGAGCAAAAAAGTACATTTTCTTTATCTGTGAAAGTCATTTTTGACAACCCTACCATTTTGGATAACCACCCAGAAAATTTTCAACATTAATCTCTGTGACATTACATAATACCATATAGTATTTTTTAATCGATTATCTTGTTCCTAATTTGTCATAAAACATTGCAAATTAACCATTTACTTCAATTTTGTATTGTTATTAACACAATATACAATTATTTTCCAACGCTTACCAATGATTTATGAAAATTTTGGAAGAAATAGATTTCTCAGTATGTCGGCCATTTAATGAGTTCTCATCAATATGGCATTGCATCAATTTATCACAACGGATCACGGGAGTTCTAAAAAATTTACCGCCATACTTGTACATATGATACGTACGTACATGGCCTAGTGACAATTTTGGACATCTTTGTGTCAGTATGGCGGCTACTTAGAGACGCCGAAAAGGTATGGCGTGGTCATAATCGGCAATGAAAAATAGTTTTCTACCATTAAAGCAAAACATTAGCTTTGAGCTCGTAATACAAAAGGAGATTTAAAAATGACATTTCAAATTCAATATGACGTACAGTTTGATACGCCACATCACTATGGCATATTATGGCCTTTGGCCTTTATACTTTGTCTATCTAACGAACAATATACAACAAGAATGAGCTATGTGTTCATTCCCCAATTGTATAGTTTTTTTCGACACATTAAAAAATTGTGCAGCGCAACGTCGACACTAACAAGCCGCCATACTTGCGTTTCATAACACTGGCTAACTTCTCGAAACGTTTTTGTTTTGAGCTTATCATACATGGATTTTTCTTGCTTGCTCACGGTCTATAAATCTATCACTCACATATTAAAGATTTATTCGGCTGATGTTTAGAACACGGTACAATTAAAGTCGTTTAAACCGGCACTTCTCGCCAGCCCAGCGAGGGAGAAATCCACGGAGGAGCCGAGGGGTTAATGAGGGGAATCATTCGGTGGGGAGGGGCCGTGAGCCGCAACCACCCCGCTGGCGAGGCTGCCGCGTGCGTGTAACCGCCCACGACTTCGGCGCGGATGATCTAAATAAATTGTAAAAAATACATAACAAATATATTTTAATGGCACGTAATTAGTCACGAGCGTGATGTCATACGTTACGGTAGGCATTTTCACCATAGTATATTATCGAAGGTCCATTATCAAATAGTGCCGCAATTGTGGTGGTGTGCCTATGAGATTTTATGTGTCGGATTGGCTCTAGAAGTAGCTAGCTACGTTGCTGTCGTGCAGTTACATTTCTTGTTCTTTTCTGGTTCTTCGTGTTTTAGTGTGTGGAGTGTTTGTGCTAGGATGGTGTAAATACATGTGTTTGTCTGCGTTGCACCGAAAGGGATGTTTGGTTGTAATTCAGTGGGCGCAAGAACGTGATTTGATTGCTGCAAGATATACTTGTCCTGTGTGTACGTGTTCAATGAAGTTGGGCAGCGAAAAGCGTTGTGATAGTTTACAGTGGAAGTGCATTAAAAAAGGGGCCACTCCTCATACGCGTAAGTGCTTAATTGAGAGGTTTTTGTCCTTCCTTGTTGAGAACGTCTCCAAACTTTACGTCACGTGAAAGTCGGTAAGTTTTATTAATTTCTTTCAGAGCGCTTAACGTAATTTGAGGGAGGGGCTAAGGAGAGTAACTTCCACCTCCCCGGCCCTATTCCCCGTTCAGTTCCTTTTCCCATCCCCTCAACTCCTCCCCCGCCGCTGCCACGGTTTCATGCGTGTACCGGGTTCGCTACTTTAACCACGAATTCTTGTTATTTACATGCACACACCTATTATTTTCCATTTATGAGTAGGTTCGTTTGAATTGCCAATCTAATATGTCATTAAATAAATTTATCATATAGTGTTTCAATATAATTGCAAGAACAAAAACTGTAGTTCTTCTTAGTTTCTTTGATTCTGCATTGGCATTTACATTGAGCATTTACTGTAACAATAATTACTTTGAGTACATTCTGTACCCATAAATGGCTGAGCTCAATAGACGTTCGATTTAGACCAATAATAATAATAATGATGATGATGATGATGATAATAATAATAATAATAATAATAATAATAATAATAATAATAATAATAATAATGCCGATCCGATGGCCGAAAATGCTAAGGCAGTAATGCCGTAGCGGTCTTGGACCAGAAGATCGCGGGTTCGAGTCCCGCCTCGGGAGTGATTGTGTTGTATGTGTCTATTTCATCATTTCATTCCATCTCCCAGGGATAACTACCCTGGGGTATACAGATGGAATCAGAATTAAAATGCTGATTCCCCCTTTAGAAAAAGTAACGTGCACCTACCCCGATAATGAAGTCTGAGCCCTGGTGGGATGTACGGATCGCTTGGCCTCACGGTGGCATATTCACGAAAAAAAAATTAGAAGAAGAATTGCATTTATAAAGAATAATAATTTTTATTCAACGTAATGCCAGTACTGCAATGTATTACTTCATGAAGTACATCACTTCTTACACACTACGCGTGCTTTCAATGTTAATTGCTCATCAGAGACTCTTCTAAACACTAATATTTATCACAAAATTACATTTACAGAATGATTAATTATATAATAATTGTGAGATAATTATTTGATTCAGAATATCCCATATTGAAATATCAATTTTCTTACAAATATTGATCAAACACATATCAAACTGTGTATTGTATTGGTTTGTTTTGCAGAGACTGCAAGTCATGGGAAGCCGGGTGAAGACCAAGAAAGCACCAAATATTTTTAAAAGGAGATATACCTTTTAGTGAAGACGTCTCCTCTCCAGTGGAGAGAGATTCTTCAATTTATAAAACCGTTGACCATTGAGGGCAGAAATGATCTCGATTCCTCTGTCTCCTTCAGTTTTAAACTGGACGGCTTATTTAAGTCAGATGTTGGATCTTCGTTTCCGCAAGAACCTTCGGCTCCTCCAGGACCTCCGGCTCTTATTGGACCGCCTGCTCCTGAATAACTTAGTGTGAGCGAGGAAGGCCAATCCCCAAGGCCAATTACAAAGACGGGTCTGCAAATTTAACACGTGCGGATACTGCTGAAGAGCAATACAGAAAAGTCTTAGAAGAAAAGTTAAAAATTAAAGCAAAGTAATACAAAGAGAAACTGAACATATTACAAAAAGTGCAGAAGCTCCAGAGAAAGCAGCTAATCCTCAAGTAAAACAGCGGATGCATTAGAAAAAATTGCTGATAATTTTTGCAATAAAAAGTTATTAAGTTAACCTGTTTGTAAAAATGTTCTTCCTTTCACCAAGTCATTATTAATATTTCCTAATTCTTCGCCCACCTCTCTTCCTGCAACATCGTACATTCCAAACATTACAATCTAAATAAAAAAATATTTTCTCTTTCTTCTCTTCTGGCATGTTGTGCATTGTACACAGATTTTTAATACAACAAAGGCATTTCTTGAGGCAGGACTTCTCCGATGAACACCAAAATCGTGATTTCAGTACACCATTGCGATGCTACATATTTGTTCGAGAATGTTTATGGACAGTATTAAATTTATATATAAAATATTCTGGAGAGTTTCGAAGTGGATCATGATGAGGTATCATCATCCAATACATCATTGGATATACAGAATTCCCTATTAAATAAGGGAGTCCTGGAGTCCTCTTGAATGTAGACATGTCAGTAGTGTACACTAGGGTGTCACAAGACATATAGGAAATTTTTTTGCGAAATCAGATACGCCTACCCTCTATATTTTTTGTTTGACCTCAAATAAATATTAAATATTTTTGCGCTTGGATAAGATTAACCCCTGCTGCATTGACGCCGAACATAAGTTATTATTTGAACTGAGTTAATAAGGAAGGATTCTAGAACTCAATGTTTATTGTGTAAATACAGCACGAATGTGTCAAAATCATATTCCTATTTAATAGAATTTAGAATTTAAAAAAATTACTTCTATCGCTCTTTAACCGTAATTAAACCATGAAAGTCTAGCATCAACTTGACCGCTCTTTAACCGTAATTAAACCATGAAAGTCTAGCATCAACTTGACCGCTCTTTCAGTTGAATTGTTCTCTGCCCTACGCCTGCCCTCCCGTGGATCATTCACTTCGTTTTGCTAAGATTTCAAAACTTTTTGCCTGCAGTATTAGCTGAAATAGAAAAGAACTAGAGGGGCTACAATATAGTACGGGTTTTCTCGAAGAATTTATAACGGTTATGTAAAATTTTACGATGATAAATATATTACACATTATATTCCTCTAATAATTGAGATATCATGTGCAAATCTTTCTTGCTAGAAAGAACGGACACCATGTCTTCCAGAATCCATTTTATACATTGAATAATATTGATATTTATTGTTCCATCCATGGTTAATAATGTGCTTAGCAACTCAGAATTTATTTATCTCAATAATATTCAACAGAAGTCGTTATAGTAACAATATTTGGAGGTTTATTTAGTTTTCTTTTTGTTTAAAATAATTATACCAGCACCAAGGAACATTTTTCCAAAAAATAGTTAACGGTAGAGAAAACATTGTTCAATATAGAATATACAGATCTTAACAATTAGTAGTTTTCTTTCTATTGTTCTAGGTAATATATAAGGATATAGATGTGTCTTTGAAGGGTTATTCTATTTGGCTATTTATCAAATTATTGTTTTTATTCCTTTATATATTATTATTATTATTATTATTATTATTATTATTATTATTATTGTGTATTTCAATGCAACGAATTCGTTCCAGGTGCTGGTAGGGTTCAAATTTTTCCCCTCTGGTAGCTACCAAGGTGATATAGCTAACAATTGTGTTTTTTTGATGTTTCACAGCGACCTGTGAGCAGATGCATTAAGTAAAGCAGCTGCTGCTTTAAACCACTCAGATGTATTCAACACATACGTTAAATTTTCTTCGAACATTCACTAGATGATGCAAGGAGAAATGTTTTTCCAAAGTTTTCCTTTCCTGGGATTGTAGAGTGCATAGACAGCACACACAGGCATTGTCTCTTCTGAGGCTTACCGTCATCAGTATCTAGAACATCTGCATGTAAACAGAAAAGGGTACCTCTCCATTAATGTCCAGTTAGTGGGTGGCGATAAATTAAAAAATGCAAAATTTTCTAATGCAGCATCTCGTAAAGGAGTGACCTACAGTTAATGAAACGGACACTGACGATAAGTTCCACACCTGCTTGTGTATAGTAGAAGCTCAGCTGTTTCTAAGCAATGTGTTCTTGTCTCGTCACTCGGAAAATTTTTACTCGGAGCATTTTAGAAAATGTTCAGGTTCACTTTAAAGCATGAAATTTAAATTCTACTTAATGGAGAATCTTCTGGAAGGCACTTAGAATATGTATACATATTCATTTCTAAAAAAATTACATTAGGTGTGTTATAAATAGCAATGAACACGTGAACAAGTAAACAACAACAAACCAAATACATGTATTCATGAAAAATGTAAGAGTAATTTGGTGAAATACTTTTTAAATTGTGGTATATAGATTTGATTAAATGTTAATTGCAATTATTAAGATATATTTTAGAAATAGTAAAGAAATTAGATGCATAATCTTGCACGGAAAAGTCATTTATAGTACAGATACGCGCACTAGTTAAATGTACAAGAATAGAATGTAGACAAACCTGAAATATTGGGAATTTTCAGACTATATTATTCCCTGAAAAAGACAAGAGAAAATCACGTATTTTTCATTCTCATGGGAAAATATTTTCAAAATAACACAGGAAAACAAAATAAAAATGTTATCAGACCCAAAGACTTACAACATGTTTCTCTACGTATTTCTACTTGCTAAATCCGAATCTGAAGTCAGAATTGCACTATTACCCTCCATTTTTTAAATTGCAAAAAACATTATGACATTGTTTTTTTGGTTTTCGTACTTGTTGTCAGACTCAAAGACTTAACATATGTCTCTTTATGTATTACGTCGAGCTGAATCCGAATCTGAAGTCAGAATTACACCACCACCCTCCATTTTTACTTTTTCCCGCTTAAGAAGAAACTTCTTAAGAAGAGAAAATTATGTAATGCTGCGCAAAAAATCGGGGACTTTTTCTCAAAATATCTCTTATTTCCGGGTCTTCGTAACGAAAAAGTGGATAAATCCAGTTGCTAAATTTAGAAAAAAATCCTCTACACGTGCTGTAGCCAGAATCCTTGTTTCTTGGGTCCCTGATTCCGAAAAGTCGATTGACGGGAAATTGTCTGTCTGTCCGTCCATCCGTCCGTCTCTCTGTCTGTCTATACACAATGCTCGCGGCTAAACTGTTCAGCCGATTTTCTCCAAAACTGAAATTCTCCGAACGACCTGGCTGATGTCACAGCTCCTTCAATTTGAAACCAATATTTTAATTTTGGGGGATACTTTACATGAAACCCCTGAGGCATTTTCAAAATTTTTAAAAATGGCGCCATCGGTTTTGATTAAATTTTGTTAATGATGACCGATTTTTCCAAAAATTGAAAAAACTCACATTTTTTCGGCATCTTCCTACAATTGAAATATTAAAGATAGAGTTTTTCCCCATAAAAATAACTGTTCTTTATAGATACATTTTGAAATAAGATCATATAGTTTTTAAAAGATTTGGTATTTTTCGAGTTATTTTGCCTTATGTAGGTACTTTTTAATTTTTGTTGAAACAACTTTTTTCTATTAAACGGCTCGATCTTTTTTTATTAAATTTTGGTGGTGAATAGTCTGAAGGATGTTTAAGAGAATATTGTTGGTTGAAAACACTAATTTTTCGAAAATGATTTTCGAATTGAAATTTTTTTTCGGCGTCTTTCTACAACTACAATTATGAAAGTACAAAGATTATCCACTTTTTCGTTACCAGGGTCTGACAATCAAGTTTGTCGAAAAATCGCGTTTTTTCGGCACACGATTACAATACTTTCTCTTCGGTCGAAGTAAGCGGAAGAAAGTGAAAACAAATAGTAGCTGGCCTCCTGAGGTCATCAAAATGTCTGTTACAAGCATTTCCAGAAAAATTACTATTATACTGGTATAAAAGAATTCTTGATGGAAAATAAAGAAATGTGTCGGGTCGAAGGAACGCTCTATGGAATCGCTATGAAAACAAAAATACAAAAGGCAAGAAAAAGTCCAGTATATTTTTCAGATGCTCTCAAAACTTTTTCTTGGTTATCAACAGACGGTAGTTGTAGATTCTCTACGTGGCAGTGACAATTTTGTTAATTTGTATATGTAAGCACATAATGAATTTAGCCCGTAGAACATTCAAATTAAGTCCGTAAGCACATTGGAGATTTGACAATGAATATCACCGGGAATGATGAAATTGCGCGATTAATTCTGTGCAAGTCTTGAGATAGCGCCCAAATATTATTGTCAGAGATGCGTGAATAAACTAGACGATACAAGCGGCAGGATAACTAATAAAACTCCCATAAATGAAAAAAATACTTGCCAACTATTTTTTGATTCTTGTTTACAGAATTAGCAGAAAAAGTATCTGATGGTAAATACAAAAGAAATTGTTAATACAATATTGTGTGAATTTGTCTTCCTTTTATTTCTCTATAAGCAAATACCTTAACAAGATAATATGTACTAGAATTTCCACGAATAATGCATGTATTTGGAAGTCAGATGATGCTAATTTAATTGTGATTGATATCTGGGCACGTCAGATGCTATACTCATTAGTCCCATTATTGTAGTGAATATCTTATAACTGGAGGTGTATGTGTTTCTCTATCGCTGGATGATGTGATCCGGCACCGACCTAGATGTCGGCTTGCCGTAGAGTCTCTGCTCTAGGTATCTCCCTATTACGTGACATAGCTCTAGCCGGGACACATTATAAGGTCTTCGAGTGCATTCCCGCCGTGTGCGGTAGTGCAGTGCATGTAAGTGTATTTGTATGTGAATGGGGCGAGGATACGAGGATGGGGGATAATAGGTCGCACGCAGACCATGGTTAGGATGCTGCCCTGGCATTCGCCTGGTACTGATCGGAGAAACCACAGAGAACTTCCGATCAGAGCTGCCGACTACTGGATTTTTCCTCCAAACAGCGCGCAGCGGCTGAATTAACTAGAGCTGTTTAACTAGAGTCGAAAAGCCGCCATCGTCGGGATCCCAACCCTGGAGCCTCCCGGTCCGAGTCGCAGCACAGAGAGTGACAATGCTGGTGC